AAACATATGGGAAGCCTGGTCCTTTTTAACCATACGATTTTACCAAAGCTACTTTCATGTAGCAAAGACCTTGGAGTCAACAGCATGGAGGCTGGTTTTGCTCTAATCGCATTCTAAACCTTCCCGCCAGTATCAGCTAAATGCCCAGTGTAAAATGCAGCACCTTTTATCAGCATGTTTGCTCCACGCTTTCTGCCTATTTGCTCCTCAAAGAGTGGCCTGCCTCGACCCCCACCCACGGCCTCACACTGGGAGTTGAAACATATATAGAGAGGGTGTGACAGAGAAAGAACAAATGTAGGAAAGTCTCATAGAAATGTAAGAGAGACACTCATATTGGAACATTACAAGTTATTTTTGGCCCATTTACTGCAAACCGCTCGTACTAAACACATCAACAAAGTGAACACTTAAAACCAAACCATGTTGTCGCATTTACGAAATGTGAATGTACTTTTCCTACCATTCCAGGTAGCCACTGGTTTCCGTTTTGGTATGTATGATATTTAAAGGATAAGGCTGGGGACATACTGTATATTTGCTATTGTTAACAAATCCCTTGGAAAGCTTTTCCAGTCTTTAAACCATATCACAGTGTTCCCTAGCATATGGATTTCCTACCCATGACAACTGAGCAAACTTGATCCACTGATGAAGACTCAAAAGCTAGCTTTTGCTACTATTTTAATACATCAAGAATGAGCTTTAAAGCTTATTATGCAGATCTTCAAAAATACTGTGGTTACCACCTTCTTATGCAGTTTTTAGTTCTGCATATTTAGTTTGCATTTTGGATGAAGAATTCTGTTTATTTCCAAGTTGCTGAAAAAAACTTGCAAACTGTGATGCTGCAGAGTAACTATGGCATGGACCAGAAGAAAAGAGAGCTGTAATAGACAGATGGGGATGGGATGTTTGGAGCATAGTAGGAGACAAAGAAGAACAAGTAGAGGTCATGACCTCTAGAGGATTGCACCAAGTTTTGGGGAGCTTGGCTTTTCGTGTGTAAAAGTTGTGAGAAACAATACCCCTCCCTAAAAGACCAACAGACCAGTCTCCAAAATAGTGGCACACTTCATAAGAGCAGAAAATGAATACAGTGGATGGAGAAGTTAAAGCAGAGGGATGCTTTTAAAGAGGGATGTAATGAAACAGAAAGAGAGGGAAACGGCGAGTGGAGCAGAGTTAAGGAGGGAGTGGCCGCTGGAAGTGGGTCACAGCGGCACTGACGTGATAAAAAGTGACGTGCAGCGGGGTTGGGGGGTGGGGTGCAGACTCGCGCCACTGTCTGCGTCACCTTTTTGTCCCGCGCACACGCAAATACACACACATGCTCTCACATTAGGAGCTCTCGCATGCTCTCAATTTATTGGGTAAACAACACTTGTGCAGAGGTAAAAATAGCTTACTTGTGCATTGTGAGGACATGGTTCCCCCTCTTTCATAGCCCCCCCCTCTCTCTTTCTCTTTCTCTCTCTCTCTCTTTCTGTCTCTGTCTCTCTGTCTGTATCGTTTACTGCTTAGTTGGACACTTTTACTTTCCTACCGCTTCACAGCGCCTTGTACTCACTTTATCAGCTCTTAAGATCGTGTTCAGGTTATGCATAAGTAATAATGGCCTTTCCCTGGGTGCTTGTTTGTGTATAAAAGAGTAGATGCAGGGCCGAGTTTTGCGGGGTAATTATTTTGGATCCCCGTGTGATCTGTAGCTTTTCCTCCTCCGGCTTCACCGAGGAGCAGTGAGGAGAGTATGTGAAGCTGGAGGGATGGAGGGGATAAAAGGATGGAGGAGTGGCAGGGGAGCTGGGGAGAACTTTAATTGCCTGACCCCATCTCCCACCAGGATGACTCTCTGGAGCCGGGTGTTAAAGAGAGGGTGTGTGTGTGTGAGAGTGTGTGGAGGTGTCGGGACGTTTTGTGCATGTTGTGTGTTCCTGTGAATGTTCCCACGACTGATCTACACATATTTAAGCAGGACCTTTATCATGACATGTGTGATGCTGAAGTGATGCGCTCTGAGATTTAACATAACCCCCCAATAACACATCAAAGGCCTGAGATGGGGAGTGGAGGGGAGAGATGGTGCTGTGGTATGTAAAGTCTGCTGGCGACAGCGGGATTCCTCACTGTAGGCCATCTCTGGGTTTCTCTAGTCAAATAGAGGATGCCTCTGATATATATCAATATTTATTTTTGATTGCTTATCTAGATTTTTGTTTAATTAGGTATAAGGAGATAAAAATAAGCCTGATGGACTCAGATTACTTTTGAGTGTATTGGATTACTGATGGTGAGATCTAAATCTCTGTAAGTAATCTAAACATACACACCACAGAGAAAAAAAAAAGAAGCAAAGAACATTCATTTTCTATCCTCGCCCCTCTTTCTGAGGCTTCTCCCTTTGTTGTTTGAGTGCGCCGGGGGATGACTGAAGGCTGAGGAACCTTCATCCTAATCGGCTTGAGATCTGGCCGCAGGTCAGGCCAGCAGATGAATCCAGATTAGAGGGTCACAAGGCAGGAAGAGAGGATTACCAGCTCTGGCAACTGGAGCGTCCTCCTCTAGCTGTCCAGCCGTCGTCTAACCAGACAACTGACAGCGCTGTCTGCACTGTCCATGGGGTTGGACAAAGATAGATCTGCAGGCCCTGCTGGGGCTCACCCCTCTTTACTCTCAGGTCTTGGGGGGGGCAGCAATCAGTTTTGTACATTTGTGAGGTTGTAGCAATTGTAGCATTTTTTGGAATTTTTTATTTTGTCAAATTTAAGACATCTTTAGTAACTCTGGTTTAGCACTGGTACATGCCATGCTTTCTAAAAAAAGATGGAAAAGTAATTTCTTGTTTTGCTCCTGCTTTTACCTGATTTCTTCTCTTAACTTTCTTGTGTGCATGTGCACAACATATTTATATGCAGCTGGTCAAGTGTATTAATTATATGGAGCATTTGGATTGATGCTGAAGTGAGAGGACAGGCTCGGTACTAAGAGAGCACACGGTGTAAGCGTCTGAACTGTTTTGGACACAAGGTCTTAAAAACCCCTTTAGAGTGCCAGTCAAGCAGAATGAAAGCTGACCATAACATCCCCTTAAGTATATATGAACATACGGTATTGTTACCTATGTGACACACAGGGGTAGTTATTATCTGTGAATGTGTCTGCACCATGGAATCCAGGCTGCCACCGAGTGTTTTGAATGCATAGCGCCCCCTGGTTGCAAAGTGCTGATCAACCGGGTTACATGAATCACACAGGTTTATTAGACATGTTAGGGTCAGTTATAGAAATAAATGAATAAAATAAGGTTGGAGTTACCTTACTGATGCAACAAGCTGTGGGTTTATGTGTGAGTGCAGTACCCTACAGCATTGACTTCTCATCTGCATCTTAACTTAACCCAGCATTTTCATCAGCAACCTCCCCATCGGCTTTGTTAAATCTCCCCATCACCCTCTCCACTCTCTGTCTCTCTGTACTTCCACTTAGAAAACAAAACAAAATAAAGCTGTGTGCGCAGCGGTTTGCTCCCGACTAGTTGCCGGAGTGCGGTTCCTGTGCGTACCTTGGCTTTGATCTTGCTGTAAATTAAACATGCCTTTTTAGATAACAGGCTCCGTGCCACCTACTGCACCTCCACTGTTCACACGGTTCCTGTCCCTGGTTTGAACTCCGTAGACTTTTAGATTCATGTTGATGAAGAATGCGGCTTTTATCGGCATCAACAACACAATCTCTGTGGAGCAATTAGGCCACAGCTGCATCATTTGTGAGATATATACAGTATAGAGACATCTTTGGAGCAAATATAACATTGATGTCTGTTTCACAGTGAATGAGCAGCGCAGAGAATGTGGGCCAAAGTGGGAAATAGCCCCAGTCAAGTATGAGGTCAAAAGTTAGGTCAAGCACTGCTAATCTGGGTGGGAACGCTCAGTGCTTGACCCTTGACATCAGGCTACAAGTAGTTTTTTTTTAGCACATGAGGCCTTTGTACAAAGTACTATACGTGGCAGATGGATTTTCAGAATAATACCAGCATTAGTTAACAGTTTTCTTAAAAAGCCAACAGCCTTAAATGTAGGGCCTTAAGTCACTAGACGATAAATTAATTGTCATGAGGGAATCATAAGGATACATGTTAAATATTTGCTGTTTTCAGCTTCACAGAATGTGAGGATTGGCAGCTTTTCTCTGTGTTGTTGGGTTCTAAATGGAATATCTTTTTGTTTTTGTCCATTGGTTGGTCAAAACAAGCATTTCCCCAACCTGTTTTTACGCTCAAATAATTAATTAATTGTAAAGATAATCGACAGATTGATTGATAATGAAAGTATCCATCAGTTGCATTCCTACTACAATGATCTCTCTGATACTTGTTACCTTTATTTGCCATTAGACTAATGCGTTGATTTATGACTTAATACATGCATTACTAATGACATTCCCAGCTAACACACTAAACTCAGATGGTGATCATGGTAAACAATTTGCCTGCTAAACATCAGCATGTTAGCATCGTTACTGTGAGTGTGTAAGCATGCTGAGATTAGCATTTAGCTGTGCCTAACAGAACCGTTAGCATGGCTGTAGACTTATTCTTTTAGATTAAAATAATAATGAATTAGTTGTAAAGTGACAGGTAGATGCATTGATAATGAAAGTAATAGTTGCATGCCTTCTGTGTCTATCAGGGCCTCTCATTTACCCGCTGATGCTTACATGTGGTCCAGTAATTCATCACAAGCAGTTTGTACAACAAGCAGAAATATCAGACCTCTCCAAAAGAATTATTTTAAGTCAAGGACTTAACCATGATGTGAAACCCCTCATTTGGAAAATGAGTTTTCTGGCTCTCTCGAAGTGCACAGCAACCCTTTCAAGCTCTACAGTATGTGGTCCTTTTGCTCCAGTGGCCGTGCCTGCTTGTCTTACGTTTTGGGTCTTTGAAATGCTAATCACTTCTCCTTTCCCCCTTCTCTCTCTCTCTCTCTCTCCTCCAGATTCCTCCTCCAACTACATCAGGCAGCTGGAGACTAAAGTGCGGATCCTGGAGGACGACAACAACAAGCTTCTCTCACAGGTGAGGCGCACACATACAGACGCTGTACGTATTATATATACACGTAAATGCTGCTGTATATCGCCCAGTTTCACTATTAGCCCAGTCCAGTACTATTTGAACTTCTGCCCTCACTGAAACACCTCTTGTGCAACTTTTCAACTCGCCCAAAACATGAGATAGGCAGCTGTGATGAGATGAAGCGGTTGCCCCGATTGCCTCTGTGAAGCCACCCCCTCACAGCAGCCTGCCTGTTAGTTGGCGAATATGTTTATCCATGTTTAATTCATGGGGAGTCAGTAAGCTTCAGTAGCGAGCAGTGATGTTAGCCCCTGAGGCGAACTGTGGGGAGCGGAGGAGAGATGAGAGGAGGAAAGAGAAGGGGGGAACGAGGCATTAAGTGACGGTGACAGAGTAAAGCATTTCTCCCAAAGTTGACCTTGCTTTGACTTCTCCCAAAATTGGAGGGATGGAGCGAGTGGAGGTGGGAGTTTGAGAAGGAGGGGGTGGATTTCTGGTCCGGTTCACAAGGAGTTCACATGTCAGTCTGCGTAGGTGTGTGTTACACACGCATGACCACAGACGGTGGACGCATGGTGAGATTTTATAACTGAAACATGTAAATTGGTAATGTCAGGGGATCAAAAGTAACGGCTCATCATTAGTAAATATTCATGCATCGTGGTATTTTATATGTCATTTGTTCTTGTTTTATGATGCGATTCAGTTCATCTGAATGCAAGTCAGGCTGCAGCCAGTTGGAGTTAGAATTTCACAGTTATGGCTTTTTTGATTTGAAGCCCTTATTCTTTTTTTTTTAAGTGATTTCTCTTTCCCCAATTATCTCCCAGCAGATGTATATGTAGGCAGAGAGTGTAGGCTGGAATCACTGATACAAAACCTAAAATGATCCTCATAATTAGCCCTTAACTGCTACAATTAGGTGCTACATATTGTCTCACAGCAGTCAAGATGTATAATATGACCCTGCTTCTTAAATCGTTCTTGTTCACATTTGAAGTGATGTGTGTTATTTTTTTCTCTTTCTTTTCTTTAGATTTGAAGTTGGGATGATCATGTTTTTGTAGCGATAGAGCCTACAGTAGTATTAGAATAATCTCTGTTAATCGAATGCTGCAGTATATAAGACAGTGGGGTTGCTATTAATCAGAATACTCCTCTATAAAAGCCTTTTGTTTTTTACATTATCTTCTTATGTGGAGCCCAGGAAGAATACATTTGCTACCATTGCTGTTGATAATGGCTCCCAATGGACAATAATCTTACAATGAACCAATACACTATTATGTTTTTCTCTCCCTAGGCTTATAGCCGGTATAGTTTATCACACATACAGACGAAAAAGGTAACTCTCTGAAATGTCACTGTCTTTTGGCTCCTGTGCTGGTCAGGTGGTTGAGCCTCTTTTGCCTTTTCACTCTTTTATCTGTTTGGTGATGGGACCTTTCACAGCTTTGAGCTTGTTGCTTTCTCATGTGCACAGGGTGGACACAATAAAAGCAACACATGTACAATGCAGTGCACTCAGTTGCAGTAACGTTGAATGGTCTAATGTTGAGTTTATGTTGACATTTTCACACAGGTGCTGATTCAGCCCCATGGTAATGGTTCAGGAATAGTTCGGCATTTTGGGAAATGCGCTTTTTACGCTTTCTTGCCGAGTGTTATATAAAGAGATTTATACCGCTCCCGGTTCTGTGCACTAAATATATTGCTGCAGACGGAAGCTGGTTAGCTTAGCTTAGCATAAACACTGACAGCTGGAAGAAGTGGCTGGCTCTGTCCAAAGGTAACAAAAGTCTACCTCTGAAGCACACAAATTAACACTTATTTAACTTACTATTTAACTTACTTACACTGTCATGTTCAAAACCATATTCAGGTACTTAGTGTACCAAATATTTTGTCCATCAAAGTACAGTCCCTTACATCCGCAAACATTGCCATAGAACTGAATCACCCTTGTGACACAGTCGGTGTTGTAAGCCTAAAGGAATTGGATTGCATTACTTTGTAGAGGTGTTGCTTCTGTGTCCAGCCCCTGTTTAATGCGCTGCTAGCATGCTATGCTAATGAATGAGCACAGGTGGCCCTGCTTGTATGTGGCCTATCTTGGCAAGAAAGCCTTTCTCTGCCCATGGAGCTGTTTTGCACAGTGCAGTCAGTGTTTGGTACGAGGTACCCTAGGTGACTGAATGCCACATTGTGCTTTGGTGCATAAATGACACACGCTTGTCCTTGCTCGTCGGGACGTCAGGGGGGCTGAATAATTTAAGATGCAGGGGCAACACAGGTAGATCCAGGTATCTATAATGCATGACAGCTAGCGTGTGACTAAAAAATTAAGGAATGTCTGTCTGGAGTTTGAAAAATACAATCTAAGTGGCTGTGTCATGTATAAACCTTCCATTAAATTTTAAGTGTAATCCAGCAACTAATGGAAAAAACAGAGCTGGAGTTTACTATTTAATTTGACTCTTGTGCAACAACCTACTTACTGATGTGGCAGAATACGAGCAGGTGGAATTGTTACAATGGATTAGTTGCCTCAATGGACATTGCCTAACTTCCTGTGTTACGAAACTGGCCCAGTGAAACTTGTGTTGAGCCCGAAGGAAACAATCGCCTCTTATCGCAGGAATGTTGACCCTCCAAACCAGCTCGGCTGAAGGATTTTACTGTACTAAAGGGAGAATGGAGGGAGTTAACAACAAGGTCCCATGGTGAATATTACAAGAGCCTACATGGCACAGGTGTGAACACAATGCGAAAAACAGGTGTGTGTTCACTAGACACCCACGCTCAGACTCTGACAAGCCCAGCCACAAGCATGTACACGATTTGCTCTTTAACTTTTTCTCCCACTCGGATCTCCCATGTCTTTCAACCGTTACTTATCTCTGTTAACTCAGTGAAGTGTGAGGCACTCTGAGGCTTTCCCTACATGCTCACTTCCACTTCATCATTAACATGTGAGTGTTCAGTGTGACTCTGAGAATTTAATGATTTATATGACAGATTCAGATGACACTCCATCCCTTATCTGCAGACTAATTGAACTCATTTTGTGAGAGTGGACTGCAGTAGGGTCCAGTGCACTTGAATGATGAAGGAGGTTAACAATATGACTGATTTACTGAGTGAGAAATCAAATCGGCTAATAGGGGATGGATTGGAACATGGTTTAGTTACCGTTGCTTTGCCAGTCATGCTTTCTGTTCTCACATATCACGTATTGCGGCTTAGAATCAGAACTCAAAATTTTTTAAAACAACAGGTCCTTGATTTGAGACAAAGGTAGGCAAAAAAACAGGTCTCTCAAGCTACAGTAACATTTTGTCTATGAGTTAGCTGAAATTGCTGTCTCTGGCTGACTTTTTAATGTTTCCAGCTGACTCGTTAGAAAACAAAAACCCTGTAAGAGAGTTTTATGTTTATGTATGTTCTTGATGGCCACATGAAACACTGAGGTTAAAGCTGCAGCCCCGTGCAGAAGATTAGCATCCTTACCCCACCAGTCTGTGATCCATATTAAAGACAGAAATAAAGACATAGCACTGTTGTTGTATTGCAGTGTTGAGCTAGTTAGCCGTAGTATTTTAAAGGTCCAGTGTTAAGGATTTAGAGGCATCTAGTTGTGAAATTGCAGACTTCAGCCAACTGAATACAGCTCGCCCTATCTACTGCTACTGAAGAAACATGGCGGACTCCATAGACTAGGACCCGCTTCCACTGAAGATAAAAATGGTCTATTCTAACGTAACAAAAACATAATCATATTTTACTTCACTTATTAAAACTATGTTCCATTTATGCCAATAGATCATCCTAAATGTTACACACTGGACCTGTAAATATAATAATGGAAAATTAACATAGGTTACTCAGATTAAACTGATTCTTTTCTGTGTTTCACTAAACTCCGGCACTCAAGGAGCTGCAATCCTCTCTACCCTTCTGTCATTGTGGCATCACCCCTGCCCCTCATAACTCAAACAGGAAATGATGCGTGACGTCCACTGCTTCTCCCTGTCAGTGCCAAGAACATTGTGATGGATGGATAGACGGAGGGGCCCAGGTTTTAGCCAGGAAGGCGGCAGAGGGTCAACTGTCCCCGGCTGTCTTGCAAACAAATAGCTTTGTTGGTCTCAGTGGTCAAGGTCAACTCAAGAAGGGAATAAAAAGTTGGACAGGTGTTTTGGTTTAAAAAACTAGACTTACCATAAAAGGAATATTCTGTAGATGATGTGTTCATTGTTCATTGTGTTTATGTCACTCCTCCAGATATGACATTTAAGGCATAGCTTGCTGACAGACACAAAGCCTGGAGACATGACACAGAGATGATAGCAAACAGAATTGAGGCCATGAATATGGAACCCAAAGGATAGAAAAGTACCACAGGAAGAATTGTGAAAGGTTAGAGGAACACTCGCAGGATAGTAAGCTGCGAGAGAAGAGAAGAGAAGAGAAGAGGAGAAAGGGAAATATCAAAGGACAGAGAAGACAAGGGGAATGCTGATTGTAGCTTTGTGTGTGTGTGTGTGTGTGTGTGTGTGTGTGTGTGTGTGTGTGTGTGTGTGTGTGTGTGTGTGTGTGTGTGTGTGTGTGTGTGTGTGTGTGTGTGTGTGTGTGTGTGTGTGACACACAGAGATAATACAGAGGCAGACAACACAGCACATTGTCCATGCATTCATAGACACACACCCACAGCTCATTGGGCTATTTATTGCCCGAGTGCTCCCAGGCATCACGTGTGTTCACACGCCGCGCCTGGCGCAGAGGAAACAGTAGTGCGTGACATGAGAAATGTCATAAGGAACAGTGGTGTTGCCGTGTTCCTGCCTACAGAGAAAAGCTAGGTTGGTTACCGCCCCCAGGAACCAGTGGTCTTTGGCTGCTAATGAGGACAAATCTTAGGAACTCTGTCCCTGCGTAATGATGATGACACAACGTGATACAGCCCAGCACACTGCCAATTATGTAGCAAGCCCAAACAAATAAAAATCAGTTACACAAATGAACTGCTTAAAGCAATGGCGTCAGTGTGATGATGAGAGTGCAGGTGCAAGTGTAGGAATGGGACAGACCCTCCGAATGAACCATCACTGAGGATCTAAATGTGCATACCGGTAGTAGAGTCTGACCAATATACATATATCATGTACTATCTGGTGATGGCAGTTTATCAAAGATATATTGGTATTAGTGTGTATGTTGTAGGATTGGATATTGGCACTGAATATTTTGATGATTGTTACATCAGTGTTACTTAAAGCACTTCTCTGAATTTATCCTGGGAACTTTTTTTTTTCTACATTCAAAAAGTGAGTTGTTTCTTTCAATATAAAATGTTCCCGGTTACTAAACTGCGGAAACAAACGCAAAACAACTAAGACATGGCACATCTGTATTTTTTTAGACCTAAGAATAATAAAAGACCTGCAATACTTGCATCATTATATTATACATTTTAAAAAATGAATGCAATCCCATACAGCTATGCTTGGACTGTCAGTACCAGATGCTTCAACTAAGTACAGCACATCCACTTTAATTATCACTTTAGGCACAGACAGGGAACCGAAACTGACAGAAACTGATTCACAGCAGCTACAATTTAACTTAAAACAACCTGTCTGTGCATGTTGTAATAACTTTATTTTTTAAAGAAACTGGAGCAGAGCCTTTTTACCTAGCATTTTTGTCAGTTCAACTTTATTATAGTGATTTTTGTGTAAACTATAAATTTATAATTATATATTTTTTAATCTGCCTTTCATAGTTTACTGTACATAGTTATAGTTACTGTCATTTTGGATAAAAGATAAAAGTTTTTTGTTCAACTGTAAAATATCAAATGTACAGTTAAGTGATAAACTGGCAATAGTAATATTAGTTGATCTTTATCGTCAGATATGTCGCTCAATAAGTAACAAGACAGAATGTACATCAGTATAGAAATAAAAAGATATGCGTGAGGTAGTCACATGTTTATTTATTTATTTTTTTTGCTGTAAGATGTCCAGAATTTGTAAACAACCATTTGCCCCCAAAATCCAGTATTGGTCAGACTCTAATGCAAATTAGGTTGTTGTACAGCTATACTTTTTTAAGTAGTTGGTGATGGTGAATAATGTCTGTATGGGAAGTAACTGTTTAAACACTAACAAAAGCAAATACATTGATTTTGAGTCACAGTAATGATGGAAGAAATACATTTTTAAAGTGAAACATTACTGAGAGCTTAAAAATCACATGATATCCATTGGCATGCAGTAAAGCAATGCCCAATGCATTTTCATTTAACACTGAAGCCTTATATCTCTGCTTTTTTGTGTTTGTGTGTTTGTTTTGCGCCCCGTTTCTGCTCAGCAGTGTAACCCAGGTGACCTTCGTGCCCTGAGGAAGGGAATGACCCTCTACCACTCAGAGTCCCAGCTGTCCTCACTGCCCCAGCGCCAGGACGCCATGCACATGGTCAGTACCCAGGAGGCCAACACACTCACACATACACAGACCCACACAAGAAGGGTACACACATACAAAAACTCACATTGACTCTTTAAGTGCTTAGGAATGAGTGGGTATTCCTCTATGTTTGTCAAAGTCACAGATCAACACTATGACACTGCTTATACAAACGTGGTTCCGTATAGAGACAAGGCTTCATTACACACACTTAATTGGATGGAAGAGTGTGCCAGTGTCTCCACAGTCAAGGCAGCTCTAATTCACTTTATTGTTAACTCTCCAATTATACCTCCACAGGCAACCTAACCTAAAGTGAAACACACGCAGAAAGAAAGAAAAAGGTGGGGGGGAAGCAAAGAGTGAAAGGAGGGAGTTAGGGCATGAGGAGGACGAGACAGACTGGAAAAAAGAAAAGAGGAAGAAGCGATACAAAGGCAAAGAGGCAAGGACTGAAAATTAAGAGGAGTCAGCCTTCCCTTCCTCTTCTTCCCATACCCTCTCCCGTCCTCCTCCCTGGAGCCTGTTTGAGCTGAATCCCACTATGAAAGTAATAATCCTTCACAATCCACCGCCACCCCTGACCCTGCCAGTGTCTGGGGAGGAGAGGCTGGGTAATTGTTTTCTGACTGCTTAAGGAAGGTCAGAGCGGGGCTGTTCCACTAACCAGAGCACTTAAACCTTCCCACTGTAAAAATCAATATTGTGTTTTAATCACAGGTTGACTGCATTCAGAGTCAGAAATGCCTCCTCGTGGAGCTTCGTGCCGTTCAATAATGTCCGCGAGCCTTGACCTCTGCGAGAGGTCGCTCCCCGCAGGAGGAAGGATAAACTGCAAATTATCTTGATGGTTGTCTCCTCGCATTTAATTTCACAGTGCCAGTTCACATGAAACAAGGTCATGATATTGACTTGAGGTGTGAATTTTGGCTCCCTGCCGACGTGACATTTATCGTCATTCCGACCGACACTGGAAAGTAAGAAGTGGGTCTGTGTAACATTGGTTACAGTCAGTCGGTTGCGTTAGCCCTGTTCATAACACAAATGTTCACTAAGTGGAGTTTCACGTATCACTGAATTCAATCAGGTTGCACAACGCAAACTAGTTCTTACGTAGACATTAGTTGCTCGCAGAACTAGCTAACTGACAGAACTAACGTTAGCTTGCTAATATATGTCCCGTATATATTGTTATAGAGATAGATAAGCTTGGAAGATTTAAAATTACTTTTTCAAAGCAAAATGCCAATAATGTCAAATAATGTCCGTAGAATTTACAGTTTTTCCAGTAAATATGAAACTACAGACAGCAGCTGCTTAGCTTAGCATAAAGACTGGAAACGGGGGAAACAGCTAGCCTGGCTCTGTCCACAGGTAACAAAATGTACCTACTAGCACCTCTATATCTCACTAACTGACATTATATCTCTTTGTTTAATGCAAAAAAACACCAAAGTGAGAAAAAAAAAGATAAATAGAGCCGGTGACTTCCTCATTGTCTTGTCGTCACTGTGAGGTAGCCAGTCTACCAGCAGAGAATCCAGCAAGCTTATGATATAATACTAGAAAATCAGTACAAAATAACTCAGTCTTGTGATTCACGTCGTCTTGCTTTGATGGCGTTGTTGTCGTGACAACACCACGGAGATGCAGTCATGTTGAGCTGGATCAATTGCCTGCTCCGTAATGTGGCCCAAGTTCATCCACGTGTGAGAGAAAGCCCTTGTTGGAAGTTAGAGAGGGAGAGAAAGAGTGAAAGAGAAGATGAGAGACGAGGGGCCAAAGACCATAACAGCAGAACTTGAGTGAACTGGACTCCTCGTTGTGTGTACCCATCCTAATCTATCAGCTCATCCTTTATATTTAGTCCTTTGTCTCGATCAGGCCCTGTTTCAGGTCAGTGAGTGTGCGTGAGATTGTCAGATAGAAAACAAGCAAGAAAAGAAAAGATGGATAGAGAAAGGAAGCGGCCAGCCTGCTTGATTCTCGCAAAAACACTCAACAGTCGGCTCTGATTTTCTATCCCCAAACTACAAACCATTGATTCTGACAGCGTTTGCTCCCTCCCCCCCTCCTGCAAGGCCTAAATCAGGCCTGTTTATGCAGGCAAGTCATACCCAAATGTACATCCATATGAACAGTAAACATTGCCCTGAGCTGGCTGCGTGTCTGCGCTGTCCAAATCTGTTTCTTGACTGCACGGCTCCTGATCAAAATGAACAGAAAAACCCGGCCTTGATGAGAGCAGGAAGTGTTTACACATTTCAAACAATAGCTTTAACCCACAGAAGAGTGCATCACAAGGAGACTGATTTACATGGTTTTTTTTCCTTGTAGTTAACTTCAAAGTCCACTGCAGAGGAGCTGTATGGAAAATTAAATTTGTTGCTGTGACTGTAAACAAGAAGAAACACACTTTACTCAGTGGGAAATATGTTTGTATTTAACAAGAGGGTTGTTACATAGAATTTTCTCACAAGTGTTGGGTTCTCATACAGCGAATATCTACCACGCTTTACTTCACTCTGTCCATATTCTTAAAGGAACTTGTGTGTTTTATCCTACAAAATAAACCTCCTGTCGAGTTTTAAAGATTAACTTTCAACCAGCTGGCAGACTTGACGTTTGCTTAATCCATTACAGTGAGCATTTTATTGACTTTATTTCTTTGTCATAGTTATGTTGTTGCTGCATAATACAGGTACAAGCAAGGCTGCGGATCCAACCTCAATACTTTTTTCTTATACAGAGTGAAATGTGTAGGTAGCACCAGTGGTGGAGGAAGTATTCAGATCGTTTACATGCAGCAAGTAAAAGTAGTATTACTGCAATTGAATTCAAAATCTAAAGTTAAGTAAAAGTGCACAAGTTTAACAGCAAACTGCATTTAATCATTGTTTAATAATGTAAAACTACTCATTGTGGACATTTTCACATTGTAGTTGGTAGAGGTGAAGCTACTATTAATAATATACTCCTGAGCAGCTTAATCTGTAACAATATATCATATTTTACAAACTGATGACACATTTTGTATGTAAACCTGAATCTGCAAAGTCACTAGCAACTGTCAGGGTGCCCTGAAAGCTCACCTGGTAGAGCTGGCGCCCCATGTATCAAGGTTGAGTCCTTGCTGCAGGGGCACAGGACCACTGAAATGTAGCAGCATACATTTAATGCAGAACAACAATCTTTTTAATACAAGAAACAACCAAATTCATATTAACCTTTTCATTTTGTCTATGATTTCCTTTTAATCAAAGCTCATGAATGAAATGTCTTACGGCAGGCGACTCCCAGCTCTGTGCTATTAGCGCACATCAGAGTTCTTTAACATAAACTTTTACATAGAAAAAAGGCAAAACCAATGCGTATGTGGCTTTTTTCCCTCACACAGTAGGCACATTGATGAGCTTTCACGTCTGCGAAATAAATAGATGTCATGAAATCACCACTGTACATTCAATACGGACAGCTGATACAGTTATTCTTGTGGTTTTCTGTAGTTGTCAGGTGAGCAGTAAGGCCAGAAGCTGCAGGGTGATGTGGTTGATTTGATATGAATACACTGTTGGGCAGTTTCCACAAAACATCTCTCTTGCTGCAGTGGGATGATTATTTTATCTCTGTGCTATTAGACTGTGTGGGCTCATTCTGGCACCCAAATGGGGCCAGTGGGCGCGGAGGGAGCTGACAAACGCATCACTAGTGAGCGGAGAACTGAACCCGGGCTAACAGAGCCACGGAGCTGTGTCTAATGCAGAGGGCCCTGATGCCAGGTTACAGTGAATGGTGCCATTGTGTGTCCCAGAGATCTCTGTGGCCCCTCTAACAGAGAGCTACTGTCTGGAACTAACCGGGGGGTAGGATGAGTCAAGCAACCCCCTGGTCCTCTTCTTGGCTGGCTGCTCCCATCACACCAAGTTAAATCACAGTGTGCAGGTAGCAGACCTGGCTGGAAGTTGAATACGTGGTGAAAAGGGAAGAAAAACACAAGGGGAGGAGAGGTGATTTGAGTTGAGATGAAAGGGATGGCATTTTCAGTGCTACAGTACAAGAAATCTCTCCTGTTGAATCAGAACAGGATAATGTCCTCCAGTTGTTGTGGGTTTATACCTGACTCTTAAACTTTTGTTGCATGTCAGCCCTTCTCTCACATCTTTGCTCTTCTACTGTGGAAGAAATTACACAGAACCTTAAAAAAAAATATATATCCCTCTTTCTCTTCTCCCCCCCAGGGTACTGGCCGTCTCCCGACCAGTGAGTCCTCTCCTGCCACAGGCTACCTGTCCTGCGTCCAGAAGCCTGAGGCCGTGGTGCACGCCATGAAGGTACTAAATTCACTTAGCAAACTAGATTTTAGGAAAATTGTGGTGGGAAAACTGCAGTTTTTTTTTATCCTCGTCATGCGGGTTGAAATTCAGTTTTGCTAATTCTTTCACCAAAACTTGGTTTGTAACTGTTCCATGATGTCTTCTGGCCCACCTTTTGCTGCGCACTGTGCTGTGCAACAGTAAACTCCACTACACTGCTGTTAGACCCTCAAACTGAATATATTCAAGATTTTAGGAGAGATACTTTTCACCCGTCTGAAAATGCTTTATTCTGAGAATCAGACCGAATTGTCAGTTCGTTTCACTTCATTCTGTTGTTGTAAGCTGATCTCTTGATCAGATTGTGGGTACAGTGTTCAAACTGATAAAATGAACTTTTTTTTGCTATTTTTAATGGATGTAACTATGTGGGAAGATAACATCTCTATTCTTAATTCTGCCTACAGTTTCTCTACGGGGGGGGGACAGCTGTCACACAATATGAATCACTGAGCAAATCTTTAGTTCAGAACTGAAACTGGTTCCAGATTCAAAGGTCTGGAACCAGGCTTAAAATGCTTGAATATTCTTGGTTAAGTGCAAAATTGATACTATAAAAAAAGAATACATATGTATTGGCAGAAAGGCCTAAATGAGCTCTTTCTGTTCCAAAAATTCAATTTGTCCGTAAACTGAGAAAGCTTTTGAGAAAAAAAAGTTTGGAACAGACACACTTGTGAAGTTTTGTCTTTGCTCCCTTATAACATTACTCAAATAGCACTTAGACTCCTCGACTATGTGTCCATCTTTAGTGAAATGACTTCAAACAAATACACACACTCATTGCTGGGTCTCCCATCAGGTGCTGGAGGTCCACGAGAACTTGGACAAGCAGGTTCCTGAGGACTACGAGGACGATCTCAGTGAGAAAGAGAAGGCCATTGTGCGAGAGATGTGCAACGTAAGTGCGACACTTGCCCTACTCCCTGACAGTTCTCCTAGTATCCCTGAGCATGTTGCTTTCCACTGTCTGTATGGCATAAATGCATGCAATCTTATTTCCTAGGCGGAAGTAGGCCTGTCACGACATATTGTCCAACAAATAAATGAGATAAACAATATTATTGTCATTTTAAGACCATTTCATGCCACTGATATACTATAATACTAATACTGTAATGGCACAATAATGCAATGTATAAAGTCATATTTGAGCTTGAGCACATATCTATAGTGGAAGAGTAAAAGGAGACGTCATTCCTTCAGGATGTCCTTTCGCTTTGTTGTGCAAGTCTTATAATGGTAGGAAAAACCCTGCTGTTTATTCTGGCATCATGTCGGCGACATCCTCATGTAAACAAACATACATGTAAACACAACAGGCAATATTGAGGTCAGCGAAAACGATTGCTGTCACATCCATCTATTGCATGATAAGTGCAGGCCTCAAAGGAAGTAAAGAGAGCATGGGGTGGGATCAGTAAAACGTGTTAGACTTCCTGTACTGTTTGCTTTCCATTGCTGTTAACAAAGGAACTTTATTCCCATAATGCTCCTGTTTGTTCTGTCTGTCGGTCAGTTTTTTTTGTTCCCTTTTTCTGAGTGCAAATCAGGTCAGTTTTCGAGTTGCTTTCACTAATGAGGAAGCCTCATTTAGACTCATTTGGTTTGGAATGACACTTGCAGCAGTGTCCTGGGCACAGCGCTCCCTCTTGCCATCTTTCTCTCTATCTTCCTCTCTATCTGTCTCTCTATGTATCCCGCCCCTCCCACTCCCTCCTCCCGGCTCCAGAGCCAACTCTAAACTGGAAGCCCTAAGTAGAGGCTCGTAGTTGAGCTGTCAGAGCAATTAAACTGGAGCGGCAGGGAAAAGAGCACCCCGCCCCCGCGCGCCCGGTGCGCCTCAGCCTCACCCCTCCATTCTTCCTCTCCTCCATCCTCCCCCTCATCTCCCTCCATCTTTCTCTGTTGGTGCTGAAAGGCCTGGTGTGGGATAAAAGGTCCGCTGATTAGAGAGAAAAACGAGAGCTGGGCTATCTGTGCCCTGCAGAGGTATGTGACAGGCCAGGAATCTGGGGAGCACTACAATAGCACCTCTGTAATATCACTGGGGTCCCCCGGGGGCCCCCTCTCACTCACTGGCAGAGAGATCTCAGCACCAGAGAGCAGCCTCGCAGTGACAGAGGACAGAGATTCAGAGATAGCTCGACTATAACGTACGTGTGTATGGGTGTGTGTGTGTGCAGTCTTTGCAGCTCAAAGTCAAACTGTGAGCATTTGAAGTTTTCACTCTTGAAGAAGAAAGACTTTTTTTTTTTACTCTGCCTAGCCTTACTCTTTCAGTCTCTGCCTCTGTGTCTGCCTGTCTCTTTCTGTATGGCTCCCTCTCTTCCCTCTTCCCCTCTCAACTTCCCTCTTTCTGCTTCTGTTTGCAGGTGGTGTGGAGAAAGCTGGGTGATGCAGCAGGATCAAAGCTGTCCGTCAGACAGCACCTCTCTGGGAACCAGTTCAAAGGGCCGCTGTAGCATGGCAACCAGAGAGAGAGCGAGAGAGAGAGAGATCAGGATTTACAGTACCTACACTCACCTGAAAACACCTCTTACTACCTGCGCCTACACAACCCATCATGCCGTGCTCCCTACTGCCTACAGCACCCAGCATTCCTTCAACAAGCACTCTCTTAAGACTGGCTAAGATAGCTACTAAATGGACCTGTTAGTTTATTCACATGTACAAACATGTTTTTATCTCTCAGAGCTTATGAAGCGTTGACAACTGGCAGCTAGTTTCACTGATTTGCCACTTTCCTTCGTTGATTTGGAGGCTTCCAGCTACACAATGATCTCTCTCTGTAAACGCTACAAACACACCACTTTTAGTCCCTCATAGCATAGCTGTGCTACACTAAGCTAGCGATATGACATGGTTTCAAGCACAGACCTGACGAGGCCGCAGGAGCAGAGATCTCTTCGCATGTTGCTGGGGTGTGAACGCAACATTGTGGCGGTATCTTCAGATAAGTTTTGATAGTACCTCCTATAGAGACCCTAGCTCCTGTCCCATGTATCCCCCCCCTCTAGTGGTCAATGAGTATAACTAGCATTAGTATTCTAAAGTGTTAACTAATGTGAAACCCACTGTGACCTAGCGCCTTTTGCTCATAAGACAAGTCTATGGATAATAAAGTCTAGAGATCACTGTTAACTTGTGTATATTATGTATAAAACCATAGCACTACTTCATTGTTATTGTTGATTTTACTTTTATCTATTTTGTATTCTAGCGTGGCCATGTGATCAATTATTTAGTTTAAAAAGCACACACAACCGGACCTTAAACAGGGTTTTCTTTTGGTAAAAAAAAAATGTAATCTTTTATTGTGTTTTTCTCTTTCTTTAAATTCTTTTCCAGATGAATTGCTATTATTCCTTCTCTCTGTAACCTCTGAAAATGTATCAAGGCCATTCTGAATCAAACCATCTCCATGGGCTAATGGATAATTTTCTTACTTTGTGAAATTAACTAAAATTGTATGCTGTGTGCATGCTTGACAATCATTTTCTCAGGTTGGGAGGGCTATAGCTTTACCTTTGCCCATCTGTGACAACGTGTGTGTGTGTTGGCGTGCATGTGTGTGTGGAAGGAGAGAGAATGGTTCTCTTGCAGCTGTAGCATCTGCCTGTGAATCCTCTTTTTCTCTATTGAACCCTGGTTACAACTCGGTTGAAGACTGCTGAAGGCATTTGCTGAATCCATACAAAAAGCCTAGTCCCATTAACGGTAATAATATTTTCAAGGCCAAATACTAAAACCCCTACATTCAGTTTGGATTGCTCCTAATTCATGTTTTTCATTTTATATCTCAGTAGATGTAAAAAAAAAAAAAAAAAAAAAAAAGGTTACTTCTCTTACTTCTCCTTTTCTGTAGCCATGGATTCAGCAGGTGTGTTTATGCAGCGCATGTTTCTTAAAGTTGAATCTTTTTTCTTAGAATATGAGAGATAAGTCTTCCCTTAGATGTCTCCTGAAAACACTAACATTTAAAAATATTTCTTGATGTCAGAATGAACAAACACTGTTTGTCCAAGTATTTATTGCCAGGTGTCAGATAGAGATAGGAGAGCTATCAGCAGCTGAACAGTCATATTTCAAATTTATAGATAGATAAGTTTAGTGACTGACAGCTCAGGCTCTCCCATCTCTAGTGTTATTTGTTCCAAATTAGAACACTTCTGAGGCTGCCCGCCATGCACCTCTGTTCTCTCAAATAATGCATCAAAACTAAATCAAAGTATGGTTTTTTAAAAGTGTCCTTTTTTCTAGGAACTGATTTGAAGCCATGATACAATTTTGAATACTTTATATACGGCATTTGATTTGAAATGTGCCACATTTTTTTCTGCATGGTGTTTTGATTTGGAACCCAACTGTCTTTTTTTTTTTTAAACATCTATAGTATTTCTTTTTTTCTGCCTACAATATATGCTAAAACCACAGAACAGAATCCTAGAGTCTACAGAGTAAATGTCAATTCCTGTAGTAACTAGCATGGCTGTAACTTCTTTTCTGAATTTCACTGATGAGATGAATATTTGGCAGGTGAAATAGGCCACTTTTAGAAAAATCTGGGAGAAAATAAACAAAGTTGGTTAATGATGATGCGAAGTGCTGTCTTTATTTGGTGGAGCAAACATGTTTTCTTCAGTGGATGAGTTAGACTGCCCTCTGTTGGTACAGTACTGGAAGCAAAACTACAGACTTGTCTATTAAATTCTGTACATGAGTGATTCCAAACCGGGGGTACTTTGTAGAAAGCTCAAATAATAACCCGAACTAAAAGGAGAAATTAATTTAAAAAATCAGTGCATGACAAATAGTTAGCAAACAAGCTGTGATGTTAAAAGTGTGGAGGATAAACAGTTGAAATAGTTAGCTAAAAGTAATGAGTATGGCTTGCATGTTCGATATGTCACACATCAACTTTTATAGAATAGTTTTAAATAACATCCAGTTTATAATCCATTCATAAGAACATGAGTGGTGCAGATTGGATGTTACTTGAACTCATGTGATACGTGACAAACATCAGACAAATGTTGGGAACAACTTCTGTGCATAATGGATCCATTAACACCTTAATCATCAAGACCTTCTCACCTTATACAGATTGAAAACAATACTCGGTTCAAAGTAGGAAAAGCAGGTGTTTATTGTACTAAGTGCGACTCACACAAAACCAAAGCTGCATGCAGAATACAGAAAAGAGAAGCCTGACTAAGGCACATATGGATAGAAACTCTCCAAAAGAAAAGCCTAAACGAAAAGACCAGATATGTACAAATATAACCTTAGACTGTCCAGTGTTAGACATGACTGATGTGATAACTCTAATACTGTCTGCAGTGCAGATTCACAAACAAAAGTCAAGAAATAAAAACCAAGGGTCTAATGGAAGTTAAAAAATTATGACCTCAATGCTTTCACAGAATAGAAAGTAACATGACAAAAATCATATAACACTGCATATTCATGAAGATGCATTTCAGTATCATGGTCCTTTTTATATGACTATATGTTCTCAAGTTCTCCAGTTTAGTCACTCTTTGTTTTACTCAGCAAAACAGTGGGAATGTGGACTAAAGAAAAACTGATTGCTGATACCTTGGTATGTCTGAGAATTCAGGAGAACCTAAGCATAATCGGGGTGATCGAATATAGAAGCAAATATATGACTCAACCTTTGATCTATTTGGAGGTTAAGTAAAAATGGTACATTTCATCTGCCCACAATTAATGAATGGGTATGTGTGACAAAACTAAAAATGTAAATTAAGGGCGCTGAAGTTTCCTGGTACACATCCAGAACAATAACAATGACAGGACGGTAGTTGTTACAAGATCCCAGAACTTGGCACATTAAGTGCCATCCTGTACATGTTTAAGCCACTTATTTCAAAAATATTTCAGGATTCGCACTGTGGTCTTTCAGTGCCAGTTCAGGTTCTCATAACAATACTGTCCACACCTCACTCTGCCCTTCGAGTCTATTTGTAGTTAAGCCTTCATTAAGAACCCCATCATCCAAAGTCATACTGGAGGGGAACAAGCTCTCCCCCGGTTTGTTCCTGGTTGTTCTCCCTCTCCACAGGTTTTCCATCTCCAACTGTGGCTTTTTGCACAGATCCAGTTCATAGACAGTTGTCACTCTCTCATCTCATCCATCCACCACGGTTCAGGGGCATGCCAGGTGGAGGGGGCAGGGGCACCTGAGACTGTCCAGGGGGTACGGGGGGTGGAGGAGGGTACCCAGCAGGCGGTAGACCTATGCCTGGAGGGGGTCCGTGGCCCGGTGGCATGCGTGGAGGCGGTGGCGGAGGGTAGCTGTTGTACCCCGGTGGCGGATACGTTGGCGGCAAGCTGGGTGGTGGGTAGGTGGAAGGAGGAGGAGGGCCTGGAGGCGGTGCTGCAGGAGGTGGATAGACATGGGGGTGATATTGTGGAATTTGGGGTGCGTAGCTGGGTGGCATGGGGGCGTAAGAGGGACCTTCAGTCTTCATCATTGACTGCAGGCTCTGGTAGCCTTCTCCAGACATGTAGGAGCTGGTGGTGGACATGATGTAGTTGGAGGGCGGGGGCGGTGGAGGCCGATGGGGTAGGGGAGGAGGCTGATGTGGAGGTGGAGCGTGTGGGGGAGGAGGAGCCGCTTCACTTCCCGGTTCTGCTTCTGTGGGAGGCGCTGGAGCTGGAGCTGGAGCTTTGCGGTCTAGCGAGGAAACAACAAAGAGAAAACAACTTGTTAAAAATTTGCTGTTCTTTCCAGGAAAGAAAACACGAAGCCCCTCATTCACCCGTGATCTCAAATAACCTCTCCATTCCCAGACAGTGAGCGCACAGCTAGACCAAGACTGCCAGGCTTCAGCCACATAGGAGGTCTCATTATCAGGCTCAAGCACTAATCAGATTGGTCTGGGAGAGGTTAGGAGTGTGCGTGTGTTGGGAAACATAATGTCCAGACGAGTTGCTGGTTATGTAAGCAGACTGAGAGGACTTAAGACTTTGGGTTGCTTTCTAAGCTCGACTTCCAGGCAGGGGGTCCTGGCTGTTCATTATGGGCCTATTTGGTAGCACACGCAAACAGACAGCGGGGTGTTGAGAGGACGCCAGCATGCACCTATGCTGAAATGTAACCATAAATCATTGTAACTTCCTACAAATTAGACTGGAGGAATGACAAACAGTCACTCTTACCTGGGGGAGGCAGCGGGAGAGGGGGCATGGGGCTCTCCAGTCTGGGAATTTTTGATCCAACTTGTTCTGTAAGTTAAACAGATCAGCCAATAAGTCGCAAAATCTATTTTAAAATCAGTGAACACATTAAGGAACTTTGCTGTAGGCTTGGATAGTCATAAAATCCTAAAACCTGCCGGGAAAATACTAATCCCAGCCACTTCGAATCTAAAGTATATACCTGTAATCTTGCAAAGACTTTATCGAAATTAATGTCATGTTAATTAGAAAACCGTTCTTGCAGGTATTTCCGTAGATCAACAGACGTTTTTACAAGATTTCAGCTGCTTTAAAACCCAAATGAGCAGAATTTCTTACCTGGAGCCTTTGGTTCATCTTTTGGGGATGTCTGGGGAAAAAAAAAAAAAAAAAAGCTCAACGAATGCAAATACTCAGTGCCCACTTTGAGGTAGGTTACATTGAGTGTTGATGTATGAATCAAGTTACACACATACACAATAAATTAAATAAATAAATGTAGAAATCTAAAATGGGGAAAACTTTTCCAGTCACAAAACAATTCAAGCACACACTCACATGTGAGCGTTTGAGCTGGCGTGCAGGGCTGCCTCCTTGAGGGGAGGTCTTCTTTGGTGGTGGGGGAGGAGGGTTGGCAGCTGGTGGTTGTCCCTGTGGGACTGGAGGAGCAGGGAGCGGAGGAGCGGGCGCCCGCTCCCGCTCCTTCTCCTGCATCTGCTGAGGGATGGGCTTGTTGCCCTGGGAGTACAGGTCCAGGATCTGGTGGCAAATGTCTGGAAGACAAAGACAATGTTTCTGTTGAGTCTGAAAGGAGGTGAAACAAATATCACAGGAAGTGTCATAGCTTCATGAGGCATACCTTCCAGTAGCTCTACTGGGACATCCTGGACAAACTGCTCCCACCAGCGGCGTGACGACTGCTTAGCGGTCCACTCCTGGATGTCAAACTTACAGAGGCGGCCTGCTAGGTACATGACAGCTACCGCAATGATCTCTGGTTCCCACTGCAGAGACAGCATGGTGCACAGGCTGCCAGGGACAATGGAAATATGGTTAGAGTCTTGTCAGCTATGAGGGAAAAGGCTTTTCAAATGTAGATCTAGATTATTCTATCCTGGGATAGAATTAGAAAATTGTCAATGTCTAACAATTTTCTAATTCTATCTCAGTAGTTGCTTTATTGTTGTTGTTTTTTTTGCTTTCTCTTTTACGATTTTGTGGTTTCTGCATGGTGGCCCTGAGAGCTCAAAGCAAGAAGAAAACCAACCAACAACCAAATACAGACATGCTGTAAGTAGCACAGACAACAAAGGAAACTGTTTTCAGAGGACACTAAAAAGTGATGCACTCCAGACACGGCTGGAACACGTTTGTTTCCCCACCAAAAAAAATGATTCATTTTGATTCAAAATGAAATCATTTTCAAACACCACTTATTGATAGAAGACATCTAAAACTTCATGAGTCATAAACTATGGCAACTAAGTGTGTCCCAGCTGTGTCTATCACTTCTTAGTTTCCCCTGCTGTCTGTGGGACTTGCAGCGTTCTTCATTTGCTTCCGTTTTGTCTATTTGCATGCGTTTTCTTAAATTTCCACTTAATTCTCCACTTTATTTACTCACCAACTACTTTAATCTCCTGACTTTTCCTTCTTTTTTCCACACACACCTGAACTTTTGTCTCTGCACACACACACCAGTTTACACCGTCCTGTCTCTTTCTTTCTTGCCCATACAGGGACAGCAGTATGGCTTATAAGGTTGCCCAAAAAACTTGAGTTTTGGATTTTCATGTGGAGTAGGCTTGCATCCTTTACAGAACATATTGCACTATATAAGACGTACTCTCTAACAAGAAGAGAGTTTACACCCATTTGCTCACCTGTCATTGACAAACGTCCATGCCATCTGCAGCACCTTGCACACTTTACTCTTGTCACCTTTAACAAGAAGAAAAAGATCCGTAAGCTTTTCAGATTCCTAGAACTGTAATGTATAACACTGCATGGATCTAAAGCCATACTTATCCTGTCTCACCTTTGAGTTGCTTGACATAGCGAAGCAGGAACATGTAAGGGTGCTCCACCTGCAGGTCAAATTTGATTGTCTGGAGTAAAATCCTCTCCAACACCATCACCTCTTCCTGTTAGATAAAATACAGATTCCTCAAATAACCCTGTTGGTGGGAACAATGCACTTCCAAGCAGGGCTTAAGATGCATCACTGCATCCTGTATTCATTAAATAAGATGATTTTTCTGAAGTTTTCTCTGAAATATTTTGGATCAAATTAAGCTATAGTGCATGAAACCCACTGGATGTTACTAGCTATCAGCTGCTCGGCATTACAAATGGAGGGATTAAAAAGGAAACGTATCATGTCCTCATGTAAA